CTTTGGCTCTTATGATATACTGACAGAACGACTAGGTAGATATATATGGTTCTTCCCACTAGAGAACAACATCTTTAGGTAACTTTCTACGGAAATAAAACTTTGTTGTTGTGCATCGTTTTAGATTTGAGAATCTACATGTAACACAAATTCAACAAGTAAAACTGTGAGCTACTGCTCACTGATGATACCCCCGCCGTAATATTTCGGTAAACAGGATGCTGTTGAGTGATGAATCTGAAAACACATCACAAGGTGTAACTTACTTATATAAACCCTGAAACCAAATTTCAGAAATCCTTGTCAAGTAGTTCCTGAGAAAAATGTGACGAAAATTTTCAACTTGGCTATCATGTGTAAAATAATACAAGTGTTCGGTAAACAGGAAGTTGTTGAGTGATGAATCTGAAAACACATCACACGGTGTAACTTACTTATTTAAACCCTGAAACCAAATTTCAGAAATCCTTGTCAAGTAGTTCCTGAGAAAAATGTGACGAAAATTTTCAACTTGGCTATCATGTGTAAAATAATACAAGTGTTCGGTAAACAGGAAGTTGTTGAGTGATGAATCTGAAAACGCATCACACGGTGTAACTTACTTATATAAACCCTGAAACCAAATTTCAGAAATCCTTGTCAAGTAGTTCCTGAGAAAAATGCGACGAAAATATTCATGGGATGGACGGATGGACTGACGGACTGACGGATGGGCTGACGGAAGGACAGACAGAGGTAAAACAGTATACCCCCCCTTTTTTAAAGCGGGGGTATAAAAATATATCGAGTAATAGAATAAATTACTAAAATAGGGTACAGTCAGCATGGTCAGTGATCATTCCGATTGTTCATGTTATTTTCATTACAAAATCATTTAAAAAAAATAATTTTGAGATTATTTCTTGATAACTTTTTATGAAATTTTGAGTCTGATTTGAATTTTCATTGTTTAATCATGGAATTTTTAGTTGAATAACTTTTTAATTTTGTATTAAAATTTCTGGTTATATTCAACCAAAAATATATGGAAACCCAATTATTATTTAAAAAAAAAATAGATTTTCAATGTCTTCATATATATCTTTTAACAATATCCCATTTACATTATTTTTGTTAAGAACTGATATAGGTGAATTACAGGTGCTTATCCAGATGCCAGTCCTTATGAGGACCCCTTAATCCCTAATGTTGTTTTAGTCTAATTATCAAATGTTGGAGAAACGTGACTAAACTGTTTTTGTCATCCAATTAGCTGAGGAACAATCAGCTACAAAGGAGTAGGGGCTATAATGGCCTAAAATGGCCCCAGATTTACAAAAAAAAAAAAAATAAAACCGAACAGATTTTTCTCCATAAGTTATTAGAATAGGAGTCAATGATTTAAAAAAAAAAGGTTTTGTCCAACAAAAAAAGGTTTAATGACATCACAATGGTAGGTGCAAATGACGGAATAATCTGGAAATTAAGCAAAAATACAGAAATTAGGATGGCTTTCCTACATTTTGACCACAGCACCATGCTTGCATCAATTTGAATTTTAACATTTGTAGAGTTTATAAATATCAAACTACAGAGAAAAAAATTTTTTGGTGCAAGGTTGGTACGATAGTTTATTTTATACTTTTTTCATAGCCATGCAGAGCAATTAAAAGATTTAAAATGTAAATTTAAATAATTGGTGAGAAACATAAGATTTATTTTGTTGGCGATCAAAACAGGAAAAAGGCAAATGCCTTTACACTTGCCCCTTTGATTGGACACTTGATATCATCATTTTCGATAGTTTTGGTTAATTAATGCGAGATCTTTGCTTTAGTACTAAAATGCTAAATGATGAGAATAAAAACAAAAAAAGGTTTTTCTGTCAATGGTAATAGAAAGTAATACATTTTTTTGTACATTAATTAGGTCGTTAGTTTTCTCGTTTGAATTGTTTTACATTTGTGATTTTGGGGCCTTTGATAGCTGACTTTGCTGTATGGGCTCTGCTCATTGTTGAAGGCCGTATGGTGACCTATAGCTGTTAATTTCTGTGTCATTTGGTCTCTTGTGAAGAGTTGTCTCATTGGCAATCATACCACATCTTCTTTTTTTATATTTAAACCAAATGTGTCAAGTTCGAAATTATAACATAGGTGTTTAAGGAGAAATCGAGAATGGTGCAGTATTTTTTTATGTAAATCTATATTAGCCGAGTTGCAAGATAGTAGGTCAAACTTAACTTATAATATCATCAATGCTTTCTTTATCCAGAAAATATAATTTCTGTAAAAAAAACAACTGTTTGAGCTATAAACAATATATATATCGTCATGTGGCATGACTAATTAACGGATTTGACAGATATAAAATTAGAGAAAAAACAGTACCCAACGCAAATAAGCTGTTGACACAGAGTTGTTTCCCTTTTTTGTAATTTTCTATAATATAATGCAAATATTGAATCCTAAGGGCAATATTAAATATATAAACTATGCAAAACATTCAAAGTAAATAAATCATGACTTTAGATGCAGGACCAAATAACCTTCCAGGGATTAAACTTAACGGTCGCCCAGTCGCCCAATGGGACCAGATTTTTTGGGTTTGGCGAATATATTTATCATCCTGATCAACCAGCAGGCGACCGAAAATATTTTGCATTGAATCCCATGTCTATCCTTTCCCCCACGATATAAACAAAAACTGTTCCCAAAGGGAAACCCAATTGTCTAATTAAAGCGGGAAAATTGAACGGAGGATTTCCTGAAACCAGTTAGGTCATTTTAATAACCAAAACCCAGTCGGACAACTAAGTTTTCGATGCGAAGTCATAATTTGACACATGTATACCCCTTCTCTAAACACGTTTTCTAATTTCTTTTTTAAAGCTTCTACGATTAATTCATTATTTTTAAGTGTTTTCGTTACGCTGTTGAATCTGAATTACTTTCGAGATGCATCCCAGTTGTTCAGGGAGTCATTACAAGTCCGTTTTTGAAAAAACTTGTAAACACAACTTGTTCTTCAATGAAAAAAGGAAACGCAAAATCTCATAAATAAATATAATAATATCTAGTATGCTAACCAATCTTCGATGAAAAGTAATTATATAATATTTTTGATCAACACTTATTAGAGGATGGCTTGGATTTGAAATAACATTTAATGTTTTATGGAAACAGCTAAATTGTCAACAGGAAGTTCAAATTGAAGGGAGATAATTTTGGCGGGAAATGTTCTGAATTCAGTACTGTCAAATCTTATGATATATTTATGATGGCAATAATTCAAATATTATAAAGTTACCACACATAACCTTTACCAGACTCAAACATTACATATAGGATTACATAAAAAGGCATTTAAGTTTTATTTTATTAGTATAAAAATTGGTTGGGCCCCTAAAATTTCAACTGGGCCCCTGAAAAAAATATTTTGGGGCCCAGCTGGCCCCTGGTGAAAAAGAGTTAAGTTTAGTCCCTGCCTTCATGGCAATGAGAAATGCCAATGCTTATTAAACTGCATACCAAATAACATTGACTCATCATAAGTGGTACTCTTTACACTAACCTAAACACAAACTTTAACTTGTAACAATGTAACAAGAGTGCACACGCTGAAATGTCTCGCCTTCTTTACTAATCATTGATATTATGTTGATAGTCCTAAATATAAAGCTTTATTACAACTGTCACATAAACTTAACATTAACCAAGTAAACTAAACATTGACTAATGAACCATGAAAATGAGGTCATGGTCAGATGAACCATGTTAGGTAGGCATGTACAGCTAACAGTTCTTCCATACAACAAATATAGTTGACCTATTGCTTATAGTTTAAGAAAAACAGACCAAAACACAAAAACTTAACACTGAGCAATGAACCTTGAAAATGAGGTCAAGGTCAAATAAAACCTGCGTGACTGACATATAGATCATAAAATATTTCCATACACCAAATATAGTTGAACTATTGCATATAGTATTAGAAAAAAAAGACCAAAACTCAAAAACTTAACTTTGACCACTGAACCATGAAAATGAGGTCAAGGTCAGATGACACCTGCCAGCTAGACATGTACACCTTACAATCATTCCATACACCAAATATAGTAGACCTATTGCATACAGTATAAGAAAAACAGACCAAAACACAAAAACTTAACTATAACCACTGAACCATGAAAATGAGGTCAAGGTCAGATGACACCTGCCAGTTGGACATGTACACCTTACAGTCCTTCCATACACCGAATATACTAGACCTATTGCTTATTGTACATGTATCTGAGATATGGACTTGACCACCAAAACTTAACCTTGTTCACTGATCCATGAAATGAGGTCGAGGTCAAGTGAAAACTGTCTGACGGGCATGAGGACCTTGCAAGGTACGCACATACCAAATATAGTTATCCTATTACTTATAATAAGAGAGAATTTAACATTACAAAAAATCTTAACTTTTTTTTCAAGTAGTCACTGAACCATGAAAATGAGGTCAAGGACATTGGACATGTGACTGACGGAAATTTCGTAACATGAGGCATCCATATACAAAGTATGAAGCATCCAGATCTTCCACCTTCTAAAATATAAAGCTTTTAAGAAGTTAGCTAACGCCGCCGCCGCCGCCAGATCACTATCCCTATGTCAAGCTTTCTGCGACAAAAGTCGCAGGCTCGACAAAAATTTATATGTCAATGAACCATGATAGGGATTGGGGGCCCAGCTGGCCCCTGGAGAAAAAGAGTTAAGTTTAGTCCCTGCCTTCATGGCAATGAGAAATGCCAATGCTTATAAAACTGCATACCAAATAACATTGACTCATCATAAGTGGTACCCTTTACACTAACCTAAACACAAACTTTAACTTGTAACAATGTAAAAATTTATATGTCAATGAACCATGATAGGGAATGGATTCAAATGACACATATCTTCTGTAACAGTCGTTAAATAGCCTTAGTCTCTACAAATCACAATCAGATAAATGTAAAATTCTTTTTAAGTTACCATGTTGCCTGCAAGAGTTGTTCCATCATCACTACAAGATACTGCTGTCTCGTTAGTACAAGGTTCTGGCTGTATAGTTTCAGATAATATCAACTTATTGTTTCCAATAGCTGGCTGTGAAACCTCAGAGGACTGTTGGACACTTATGTCATCGGACAAATTTACAATTCCTGAATACTGTGATTCATTTGTATCACTAGCTAACTGTGTACTCTGTCCAGGAGACATTAAGTTGTTGGTTCCACTTGTTGACTAAAGAAGAGAAAATGGTTATCAAGTAAACTTATAAAACTAATTGAACTTCCTTTTGATCATGTATTTTTGTGAAAAATATAGTGGATTTCTCTTCCATAGACATCTATAGAAATAATTTCTGGTTTACAAGGAGTTACAGATGTAGACTTAGAATAATGAATCAACTAATGGTCATTGTTGAAAGCAGTACATAGAATTGTAATGGTTTAGATCTGTGTTCTTTGGTCTATGGAAAGTTGTCTCATTGGCAAACATACATAAGATACAATGATCCCTGTATGCAGCTGATTTCACTGAGCAGAGACGAAAAGTGAGTTATAGGGTGGTGATGCACTGACTTTAATATTCAAATGGAAATCTGAACCTCTACTTTAATATTGTCCTTAATAGAATTTTTTTGTTTTTTAAGGGGTGTTGACCCATTTAAGAACATGAAAACATGTCACAAGTGAGTTGAGACAGGGACATAATATCAGTCAACCAATTGGTAATGGTGACCTAAAATCTTGTGTAGTATCGATGTTAGTAACTCTTCATAATTCTGTCAGAGCAGTTTTTATTTCAGGAGCACACCCTTGCTAAAGCATAAAGAGACACTAAGACATAACATACCTTGACTGATCTCTTTGAAATAATAGACTGATGTACTTTTGATAAACCTTAAAATACATAATTATATTTGATAAAAAAATGACTTAATAAAGCTTGTAAAAACTTAAATTGGGACTTTAAATTGTTATTTTTCACTTATGCAAGGTAAACTAAATATGACAGTAAGAACAAAATCTTATTCATATAAAAAATAAGAAATATTGATATTCATCTTTCCAAATTCTGTGAAGTTAAATTCTTGCATGCAGCATCTAGAATTAAATTTTCTTTTATCATGTTTAAAGTCCAAATAACATAACTGATACACTTCATTTTTTATAACAAAAAAAGATTTACTAAACCTGCACTTATGATTTATGATACTGTACCATCAATATTCATTAACAAAAAATACACTGAATTATAAGAAATAAGAATTAATCTAAATATAATAATTCAAAAATTCCCACCACATTGTCTTAATATGACAGCCCCAATGTGAAGTCGATACTGATTAAGATCTTCTGCTGTCATAACAAACTGGATATCACCACCAGAAAGAAACATTTCAGCCATCTAGAAAACAAATGACTAAAATATTAAATTGTCTTTTATATATAGTTATACAACTTGAACTTCAATTAGTTTTTATAATAAATAAATGGGGAATGTGTCCATGGGACACAGATGATGCCTCCATTTGCATATAACATTGTAAAGGGACATAACTCAAGAAATATAAAAGTGATGCTACCCAAATTTGTACTTGATCTGAGTTTTGTGGTAATAAGCATTGTGTATAAGTTTCCTACATTCATATTAGTTGAGGCAAACTTAAGTAAGAGAATGGATAATGTAAAAGGGCATAACTCTAGGACGGTAAAAGTGATACCACCAAAATTTGAACTTGATCTGTGTGTTTTGTGGTAATTAGCATTGTGCATAAGTTTCAATACATTTGGTTGAGGCAAACTAAAGTTAGAGAACAGAAACTGAAAATTCAGCAATTTTTCAATTAGTAAGATGGCATAACTCTAGAACAGTAAAAGTGATGCCACCAAAATTCAAATTTGATCTGTGTTTTGTGGTAATGAGCATTGTGTATAGGTTTCATAACATTAGGAAGAGACAGACTAAAGTTAGAGAATGCAAACGAAAAATTCAGCAATTTTTTTATTTGTGAAGGGGCATAACTCTAAAACGGTCAAAGTGACACCACTAAAATTCAATCTTGATCTGTGTTTTGTGGTAATTAGCATTCTGTATAAGTTTCATAAAATTTGGTTGTGGTTAACTAAAGTTAGAGAACTGAAACCGATTTTGGGATGTATTTTCGTACTGACGTACGTACAGACGGACAAGGGTAAAACTAAATGCCCCCTCTGCATAGAGATAAGGAGATAAGATTTATCTGCCAGTTCTACAACAACCTACTTGATATGATAAAACTACAGGTTCACCTTGGTCTATGGGCGAATCAAACATTATGCACACTCTCCAACATTGTAGACGAGAATAGACTTCATGACAAAAATCTCTATTTTGTTGATCTTGTATTACTGATCTTTTAGTCTGTTTAGTTTCTTTGACTTATTAAAAGATCTTGCCTTGCTGATCATTTTTGTGATTTAAAGTGTTTATTTTTCTATTATAATTTAAATCTATGAGGCATAACAGAAAAAAAAAAGTTTCCCTCTAAATATCAGTTTTCATGATAATAGCAAAAATGAAAAAAAAATTGTTTGTCATTTATGGGCCATAACTCCTATATGAATTTGTCTAACAGTTTTGACATATATGGACAATTGGTAGAGCTCATTATTCTGAACATATTTGTTCCTTTCAGATTATCTCTATTTATAAAGGTTTAAAAAATAATAGACAAAACTTGCCTTTTACCCCTATGTTCTATTTTTAGCCATGTCAGCCATGTTGGTTGGTAGGGGGGGTCATCTGACACATTTTTTAACTAGATACCTTAATTATGATTGTGGCCAAGTTTGGTTTAATTTGTCTCAGTAGTTTCAGAGGAGAAGATTTACAAAAATTTACAAAAAATTGTTAAAAATTGACTACGAGGGCAATAACTTCTAAAGGGTCAATTGACCATTTTGGTCAAGTTGACTTATTTGTAGATCTTACTTTGCTGAACATTATTGCTGTTTACAGTTTATCTCTATCTATAATAATATTCCAAGACAATAACCAAAAATGGCAAAATTTCCTTAAAATTACCAATTCAGGGGCAGCAACCCAACAACTGGTTGTCCGATACATCTGAAAATTTCAGGGCAGATAGATCTTGACCTGATAACCAATTTTACCCCATGTCAGATTGCTCTAAATGCTTTGGTTTCAGAGCTATAAGCCAAAAACTACATTTTACCCCTATGTTCTATTTTTAGCCATGGCGGCCATCTTGGTTGGTTGGCCGGGTCACCGGACACATTTTTTAAACTAGATACCCCAATGATGATTGTGGCCAAGTTTGTTTAAATTTGGCCAAGTAGTTTCAGAGGAGAAGATTTTTGTAAAAGTTAACGGACGACGGACGACGGACGCCAAGTGATGAGAAAAGCTCACTTGGCCCTTTGGGCCAGGTAAGCTAAAAATTGCAAAATGTCCTTAAAATTACTAATTTAGCAACCCAACAACTGGTTGTCTAATGCGTCTGAAAATTTCTGGGCAGATAGATCTTGGCCTGGTGAACATTTTTACCCCATGTCAGATTTGCTCTAAATGCTTTAGTTCAGAGCTATAAGCCAAAAACTGCATTTTACCCCCATGTTCTATTTTTAGCAATGGCGGCCATTTTGGTTGATAGGCGGGGTCATCGAATACATTTTTTAAACTAGATACCCTAAGGATGATTTAGGCCAAGTTTGGTTTCATTTGACCCAGTAGTTTCAGAGAAGATTTTTGTAAAAGTTAACGGACGACGACGATGACGACGTACAACGGACGACAGAAGCCAAGTGATGAGAAAAGCTCACTTGGCCCTTTTGGGCCAGGTGAGCTAAAAATTAGCAGACCAGACCGAAACTTAAACCTTATCTGTGACTCATCATGGTCAATTCACATACCAAAAATCAGACCAATATCTGGAGGCGTTAAGAAAAAAATGTCCGGATAACTGTGATTTTCATCAATTTATCAAAGGCCTAAACCAGTAATTTCCACAAAAATTAGCAGAGCGGAAGGAAACATAAACTCAATCTGTAACTAATCATGATTAATTCACATATATACCAAAAAATTAGCCCAAAAGTCCAAAGTCCCTAATTTTTGACAAAAATTAGCAGAGGAAAAACACTTAAACTTGATCTGTAATTCATCATGGTTAGCTCACATACCAAAAATCTAAAGGCGTTTAGAAAAAAAGTCCCTATAACTGTGATTTTCAACAATTTATCGAAGTCCAAAACCTGTAATTTCGACAAAAATCAGCAGAGTGGAACAAAACTTTAACGGGATCTGTAACTAATCATGTTTAACTCACATACAAAAAAATCAGCCTAATATCTGAAGGTGTATAGAAAAAAAATCTGTATAACTGTGATTTTCAACAATTTATCAAAGTCTAAAGTCCCTAATTTCGACAAAAATTTGCAGAGGAAAAACACTTACCAGTAAACCTGATCTGTAATTCATCATGGTAACTCACATTCCAAAAATCTAAAGGATTTTAGAAAAAAAGTCCCTATAACTGTGATTTTCAACAAATTATCGAAGTCCAAAACCTGCAATTTCGACAAAAATCAGCAGAGTGGAACAAAACTTTAAAGGGATCTGTAACTAATCATGGTTAACTCACATACAAAAAAATCAGCCTAATATCTGAAGGTGTATAGAAAAAAAATCTGTATAACTGTGATTTTCAACAATTTATCAAAGTCTAAAGTCCCTAATTTCGACAAAAATTTGCAGAGGAAAAACACTTACCAGTAAACCTGATCTGTAATTCATCATGGTAACTCACATTCCAAAAATCTAAAGGATTTTAGAAAAAAAGTCCCTATAACTGTGATTTTCAACAATTTATGGAAGTCCAAAACCTGTAATTTCGACAAAAATCAGCAGAGTGGAACAAAACTTTAACGGGATCTGTAACTAATCATGTTTAACTCACATACAAAAAAATCAGCCTAATATCTGAAGGTGTATAGAAAAAAAATCTGTATAACTGTGATTTTCAACAATTTATCAAAGTCCAAAGTCCCTAATTTCGACAAAAATTTGCAGAGGAAAAACACTTACCAGTAAACCTGATCTGTAATTCATCATGGTAACTCACATTCCAAAAATCTAAAGGATTTTAGAAAAAAAGTCCCTATAACTGTGATTTTCAACAATTTATCGAAGTCCAAAACCTGTAATTTCGACAAAAATCAGCAGAGTGGAACAAA